CACACACACACACACACACACACACACACACACACACACACGCACGCACGCACGCACGCACGCACGCACGCACACACGCACGCACGCACAGTATTTCTGTTTCTTTCTTTCTTTCTCTGTTCCACTATCACGAGATCACCCTTACGCATCTCACGAATATCGCGCAAGCACACATAGATGCACATCCACATACACTTAAGCAAAGATTGCGAGATATACGTAGCTTTATAACGAGAGTTGCACGCAGAAACGTATAGTTCTCGTATTCGAGACGCGTCTATGTTTGTATACGTGACCGAATAAAACGCGTGCACGAGGTTTTACGGTATGACTGCGTGTACGAAGAGGATATGTAGACAAAGAGGGAGTTACCACGCACGGAATGACCCATTTTTTAGCATTTCACCTGTTTTGTTTTTCCACCCTTTTTTTACGCCAGAGCCCTACTTTGTTAATGGCCTCCACGTCGCACTGTAGACGCCAGACGGCTTCTCCGATGCGAGAGTAATGGCTGTCGCCATTTTTCATGCGCGCACTCGCTTCGTATCTCATTGCTACGCGTCGCCGCTGGGCGTTTGTAGACCGAAGATAGATGAAAGTATATACGCCGCGTACACAACAGAACTTTCGATTAACGATTCTCCAACGTCATTGGTCGGTTTGCATGAGGTGCGATGCACCATACATAAAACGCGAAAATTAAATTAAAAAAGCGAATTATACGAAACATATGTTAAGCGACTTTAACGGAGCAATACACAAATCGACTCGAGAATACTGCGTCAGTTTACACGCATATAGATTATCTTAATTACAACTTGGTGCTATTATCTCGATTTGCATATAAATTTCTTGACAAAAGTGTAATTAACAAGATACAAGTCACACATTTGAAAAATCTACTAACCTTTAAAAAAATATGAAAGAGAAATAGACATTATTTCATTTACATTTAAATTCTGTAACTTGTATTAGCGCTTGGCGCTTCAAACTTATTGATTCTTTCTTCTTTTTTGAAAGTTTAGCTTCTATCTGTATTTAAAGAAAATCGCGCGTGTCATGTTCTCTTTGTATTCTCTATGTTGTGTTTTTTATTTCCTTGATCGACATTATAGTAAGAGAAACAAAATATTTTTCTATATAAATTTTTAGTGCGCGCACCAAAAGTTTGAAATATAAATGCAAGTCAAAGAGACGAATAAGAAAGACAAAAGTAGAGACTAACCGAATTTTATTTTCTATCATCTTTAAAGCCTTTGTGTCAACGCGGAGATGCAAAGTCTATTAAAATTCTACTCAGAAAGCCATATAAACTGCAGTCTGTATTTCGTTAGCAACAATTAGAGAGTAAAACTCAATATTGCGGTAATACCTACGGTAATAACACGTGCAGCATATACTAGAACTTAAACAAACGCATGGCGTTTCGAATGAAATAAAGAAAAACAAAAACGACGCGGCATGATACGCGACAAATAGCTTATCCATATTTTGATTTTCATGTTTTTGTCGCTTACGTTTTCGCGTCAATGTTTACGTAAACTCTTTCGCCGGCCGTGTACGACGTCACGAAAGAAAATGACAATACTCGAACGTATCCAAAACAATGAACAGAACGTGCACGTACGGTAATACGAGGCTTCGTACAGATGCGTCGGAAGTAGATAAATATCGTGCTATGGTATATTTGACCGTTCTTGAACCATTGTTGTAAAACCAAATCTTGAATGTAACTTATTGAGAAACATACGAGTTTCTCATTCTATGAAATCCTATTATTTTTCTCGCTTTTTTTATTATTGGTTTGCCGTTTTTTGTTAATTGCGTTTGACCGATAGCTTTTTCCTGTACGATTATCAAATAAAGATATCTAATTTTAGTAGATTCTTGGTGGACCAAAGTTAAAATCATCAACTTTTCTTAAGAAAAACTACTTTTCTTAGGTACAAAAATATAAAGCTCATAAAAAAGAAAAAAATAGATAAAATGTGTTCTTTTGTAAGAACAAATGCTATAGTGTCGCTAATATTTTATTTTCTAAACATTTTTCGAAAGAATCACTGTAGTATTGCTCTTGTAATTATTTTTGCAGTAAATAGATAATCATTATGTGTATGTATCTGCTTTCGTAAACTTGTGGTCAAGGGCCGGACCAAGATTAGATACGGTCCTGTCTTGATATTCTGGAATATGGCGGGAAACGGGATCCGGGAGTTCCCTATAACGTTACTCGGCTACCCACGACGGTGCGTATTACGTATCACATAGATAGACGCGGTATATGCACGCTTGGTATGCATTGGAAACCCAGTGCAACGGGCGCATTGTTACCAAAGGGTGCGGGGCGTCCAAGAGCCGGACAGAAGCCGGGAGTGTTGGCGGTGGCGGTGGCGGTAGCAGCTGAGGTCGGTTGTAATGTATTAGAGCGAGAACAGGAAAGGTCTCGTTGGTGAGAGCGAAAGAGGAACGATCGAGGTTGGATTCAAATCAACATTTTACTACCCTGTAAAACTGCCTCATTTTGTAACATTGCTCGTTGGTACTGGCACTCTTAAACTCCACGTAAGTTCTAATTTATTACCGTGCCAGTCAAGATTTTGCTCACCGCTGTCGCGTGATCTTTAAGTCAGATCATTGGAATAGAATCTACACCAAATGATTTTTCAAAAAGCGCTCGACAATCGGCGTTGTTGCATCGTAAACAATCGTTAGAGTCGGGATTGTATGGACCATACAATGTTAAAAACAATTGATATCCTGGATATTTTATAAAAATGTTTCTCCAAATCGAGATAATCAGCTCGTTTGTTCCGCAAAACACAATGATAACAGTATCCCGTTATGTGTTCGAGAGACAGAAACAATCGATGCTTGTCGAATTATTAGAGAGAGTGCTGTTATCTGATGTACAAAAATTTGATTCTAAAAAAAATTCAAATAATTGTAAACAGATGAAGCAACTTCTAACAAAGCATGAACTTTATAATCATTAAATTTAACATTATAATTTATAGTATTATATTGCGTGTGTAATACACTATGTGTACTACGTTGTAACGATCTCTGTTATAACAGTGCATCTTCTCCTATCTGGTTTATATATATAGGGTGTCCCAGAATTGGTGTGACATCTCTCGTAGGCAGGTAGAAGGAGTAAAACTGAGTCGAAAAGTCCTGAACCATTTTTTTCTATTATTTATAATAAAGGAGTAATTATTGAGCGCTCACACACACCAGGCGCGTGGCTCACTGACGTGCGCCTGACTAAAGGTCGGCGCTGATTGGCCTGATTTACTCAACAATTACTCCTTTATTATAAATAATAGAAAAAAATGGTTCGGGACTTTTCGACTCAGTTTTACTCTTTCTACCTCTCTACGAGAGATGTCACACCAATTCTGGGATATATGTATATTTTGTTATCACTATTTATAATTTTTATGAACCTTGAGTGCCTGTTATCTCCTCATTTCGACAAACATAATTAATTCTAGGTCAATGTTGAATTCGCGTGCTGTGACAATAGGTACGGATCATTCGATACATGGCTAAGTAACAATTTGAGTAGCAATGAAATTTTAATACGATGCAATTAGGACCTGTTAAAGCTTTGAATTGAGCAAAACTCGGAATGACTATTGTATCTGACTCTGAAATTCATGAGTGAGTGAGTAAGTGAGTGAGTGAGTGAGTGAGTGAGTGAGTGAGTGAGTGAGTGAGATGAGTGAGGTGAGTGAGGTGAGTGAGGTGAGTGAGGTGAGTGAGGTGAGTGAG